TAGAGTGGATGGATGAGGGCTTGGGACTATCAGTATTAGAGCTCTAAGGATCCCATGGGGTTGAAGGACATAGCTTCTAATAGTGTTCCATATTGCTAGTGGGTTTATTTTAGCCCTTGTAAGATTGAGACTTAAGGCTCTAAGAGGGAACTTTACATAAGAAGCTTGGAAGATGTGTAAGACTGGCAGGCTTAGGATGAGGCTGCAATGTAAAATATAAAGATGAGAAACACATGTAACTCTGGCAGTGTAAAATGGTTGAGAATGGGGGAATGGCTAAGTAGCAAAGTACTACATTTTCACAAACAGACTATACAAACAAAAGTTGTTCTGTTAGTATAAATAAATGAACATTTATTTCACTTGCAAATAGAAATTAAATGGTTACAGCAATAAATGCTGATTGTTTCACAAACACATTTTTGCAAGACAATATTTTCAAACAAACTAAATTTTGTGTCAGTGCTAAAAGGCCCTTATTGAAAAATATTGTTGTAAACATCAATTTGAGAACGAAAATCAGTTGAAATTTCAGTACTGATAGAAGTTTAAAAAATGTTTGTGTCAATAAATATTTTTTCATGCTGAGAGTAAGGCTTTTTCTTATGCTTTGGCAATGTGTATGTACAAGTTGGAAAATACAAAATACACATAGAATTTTGTCTGAGGAAAAACTTGTTGAAGTGAGGTTCAGAACGGCCACTAGATTGACTGAACAGTGCTGGTATTTTGGCTGCCTGAATGGGAGATGTGAATTGCATAGTTTACCGTTCAAATTTTAAAAGCTTGCAAGAGTTACAAACTTTGATGAGAGTCCTTTCAAAGTATGTACAGGCTTTCCAAATGGTAATACAGTTTTTGTACAAATGCATCATTGGAATATTGGGAGTATAGCATCTTTAAACCTATATACACATGAATGTGTTAAATGTGCATAAATATGAAAGTACATGTACATGGGCTACGATACGTTAAAGAAGTTAATTTGTGAAAAGTAATTTTTGTTTCAAAGCAAACTGATCAACTGTGTCTGACTGCAATTGATGTACAAAAGTACCTCTTAAGTCATGAATACGGTACAACATCACTATGCAGAACAATTGGGTGTACGGAACATGCCTCTTGGCGCTAAAATTTTCTATGCACTTTTTAAAATATTGCTGTAAAATTAAATAAACAAATTTAGGACTGATGATAATGACACGAAAGCTAAGATATCAACACTGAAACCTCAGAAATCAGACCAACCATTCTACGACATACGTGGAGCAAATACAACCCTCTTTTTTCTGCAAATGGTACCTCCTTTTAGGCAAATGGTGCCCTCTTGCAAGGAATTTTTCCTCCCTTTTTTACGGAAATTGGAACGGTTCAATTTTTAGGCCTTTGAAATAATGACCCAATGAAATCAGAACAGTTGGGGAGGTATGCTTCACTGAGCACTGTGTGTGTGTTCATTATTTATAGGAGCGTTTCTCTCTACCAATATACAACTACTCAACAAAAAAGGATCAGACATTTGTCTTTGAAAATTTCAGCCAGGTGTCTATTGATAAAATGAGAATGCGTAACAGTTGTCGGAGTTTAATGAGCCCCAAGCTTGACCAAGAGAGGGCGCAATTTTCTCAGCAACAGAGTCTCCCTTGTTTAGAAATGAACTTTGCCGGTCACAAACAAGTAGGAAATGTATCAGTCTATTTTTATGGATAATGATAAAAATATGTGACTTGGGGGAGATTTACAAACAGATGTATGCATTATTTTTCTGAAACAAAAAAGGTCAATTTTTTCACACTGAGATAAATGTACATGTATGTACCCGGTATCATATCTTCAAAGTTCATTTCTCTGCTGTAATAATTTCAGAATACAAAATAGCGCCCTCACATTATCAGGAAATCATTCTAACTCATAAACAGCGCCCTCACATCATCAGGATATCATTCTAGCAACTCATATTCTCCCCAAACTCCACTTTCATCATTTTTAGGGCTGTGTAGGAGACCTGGACAAGGTGCTGACCAAAGTGTTTTTCAGAGTCATGGGACTTCAGTACTCTGTAGAGAAAGTATGCATTGGACTGGAACCAATAAATTTTTGTTTTGTTGCCAGAACATTTATGACACTTTTATTTCTTACAACGTGAATTCTTTTTTAAAATTCTTATCCTTTGCTTCTTTTGAGTAGTGTACAAATGCAGATAGACTCGCTCCATCGCGTACTAAGGTGGAAGCACGAAACTGCATCTCTAA